TTTTCATTAATGTAGTGCTCATGCTTTCCTGAGCCGAGGGTCTATTGGAAACAACCTCTTTATCCTCACAAGGTAGGGGTAAGGTCTGCGTACGCACTACCCTCCCCAGACCCCACAGTGTGGGATAATACTGGGTATGTTGTTGTTATGAACTGAAGTACCACTAATAGGTACATGATTTATCTATAGGCAGTAATAAAAACATTCCAAGAATGTACGCATTCCATTTAATTCCAATGACAAAAGAACCTTACCCCACAGAAGAGCACCCTCTCTTCAAATGTGAGAATATAACAAACATAAAACTGGAAGGATCTTTTATTGTTCTTTTAATTACCGTGGTGTCAACGCTAGTATAGGCGCACCTCAAATATTCCACCTGGTAAAACAACTGAAGGATCTTTAGTACAGTTACACAAGTATTGGTGTCTCTTGTACTTCAGACACAGAATTTTAGTTTGAATGCATACAAATAAAATACAGCAATGGCACTATTGTTCCCATAAAAGGAAAAATAGTTCTTACCATCTGTTGTAGAAGAGAAAGGAAGAGATGGCTACGATATCTCGCCAGCACTTGGAAACAAGAAAGATGTTCAGGTACAGTTGAGAAAAACAGTGGGAGGCACTGACTGGTTTAATTTAGATATGGGCTTTTGTGAGGCATATGAAGTTTGACCAAACACAAAAGACTACACCACCATGAGACAGGAATTTTGGCAGGCCAAAACATGCTTACTTACATTCCCACTTGAGATGTTACTTACTCCTCCAGATTCTACATTCTATCCACATCATTGACAGTCTTAAATAGAACTAACAGATCTGACTGGAAACGATTTTTCAAAAGTCAATATACAAAATATAAAGAGTCATTAAGTAATATAAAGACATTCTTAATTGTACCTTTGCAGAAGTATGTTTCAATCTTCAAATGCTCAAGGCCATTTTCTAAATAAGAAACTAAAAGAAACACAGAAATTGGGTAGTAGTGATGCTTACAGTGAATGGAGGAAGTCATCCAAAGAGAGCTAATCCTCATCCCATCTGCCACTGCATCCACATAATTTTTCGCAGATCAGAGTTCAAAGTATTATTTTCAGTTATCTTTAAGTATTTAGACTTGGCATGGAAAGCATCAATCTCAAAAGAAAGGATTTTGGACTAATGATAGAGGAACCTTAAACTGTGAATACTGTTTTTAACTAATATGAGAAGTAGTTGCGATGCAAAATGATAAGTATATAATAGAGAGAACGGTCACCAGTAATCAATAAAACAAGGAGAATACCTTAAGAACTGCTTCTCCTTTGTTCGTAATCGTTGATTGTTTGGCGGAAGCTTCCATTTGTGCACGTGCTGCTCTTCCTGCAGCAGATTTTTCAAATTCTTCTTGCCTGTAAATGTTGGGATTATTCAAGCCATCAAGTTACGTAGAAGATCTTGTAATTAAATCAGTAGTGGCAATCTGACAATGTCAGGAGAAGCTGCATAATTAGAATGCAAAGTTATGAATTCATCAATATAAGAAGTTCAAATCGCAAGAGTGAGATATTATATGCTTGTACTTAGGATGAGACCAGTGCCCCTTGTCCCATTTAAGTATCTTTCCTGCCGTGGGTGGTCAGTTGATATGAGGCTGACTTTATATGTACCGCCCGGTGCATGTTTGAGTTTCAATCTTTCATTGAGGTTATACAGATATCGATCTCTTTGTGCAAACTACAAACTTCACATGGTTAGTAATTAGCACTCCCTCCGTCCCAATTTATGTGGCGGTATTTGACTTGACACAGAGTTTAAGAAAGAAAGAAAAACTTTTAAAACTTGTGATGCAAAAGAAGCTAGATACTTGTGTGGCTATAAATCATCTCATTAAGGGTAAAGTAGGAAGTTTAATGTTAAATTGTTTCTAAATAAGGAAGTACGACATTCTTTTGGGACAGACTAAAAAGGAAAGTATGACATATAAATTGGGACAGACGGAGTAGTTACTAAGAGATTGTACTGATTTGGCAGCTAATAGGTACTATATGCCTAAAAGAGCTCTATGTATGACTAAAAGCTTCAACTTTCCTTCAGCTCGGGCCTTACTAGTATTGTGTTTGGAAACATGCGAAAGGGGAGGGAGATGACTGCTTTTAACGTCCTGCTAAGATTTAACAATTGTTTACTCGAAACACGGCTTCTGCACACAAGTTTTGTATGCTTGTAGTGGGAGTAGAATGAATTTACACTTTCTCTTTCCTCTCTAACTCAACGTTTGTCTACCCCCCAATCCTCCTCTCATTCGTTCGTCTGCTCCTGATGAATAATCCAGCTTTGTAAGACATATTATTAGTTCTCTCCTCCTTCATAAGATAGAATACATCATCCCAAATCCCTTCTTGGGCACTCAATTGATGAATGAAATCATACCTCTAAAATTTCACAAAGACTAAAAACCAATCATCAAGTACTATTGATTGCTTCAGAGAGAGCAACAGAAAATGCATGAAGATCTGTCAAGATATATGAGCAACCAGCGAGCATTTTTGTGGATAGTACGAATTCAAGAAACAAACATCCTTCATGACTGCAATTTAATTCCTTTTTTGATCATTGAATTTGATGCGGGGCAACTTTTATTATTATGTCTCAAGTCCCTAAGCAAGTTTCTTTATGAAATACCCATCCTTAATGAGTACACGTGCTAATGTTTTAAGTCCATGAGCAAATTTCTTGTTCATAGCAGATTGAATTGTGGTCAAGCCATCAATTGAATAATAATGGAATTACAACAACTGTAAAAAAATTCAGTAACGCAAAGAGAGAAAATGTGGATACATCAATCAACTGCGACTCAACAGATAAGGAAACAAATTTAAAGGGGCAAAGACTATATATTATTATGGTGGGTAACAAGTTAAGGGTAAGCAAAAGAAATGCCTTTTTTGGGCGGCTTCAGCAGCTCTGGCACGAGCTTCTTCGGAGGCAATTCGTTCTTCCTCTCTCCGCTGCTCTCTTTTGCTTCCTCCGTCGAAGCAATCGAAGCAACCCATCTTCTTCTTCTTCTCTTGACTTTTCTCAATTTATTCCTTTTTTCATTTCTATTTTGACTTTATAGTTTTGGGGAAATGGGTCAACCTCAAAATACACGCACTATGTCTCCTGCTATTAATCTGACTCATCTTAAGCTCCTTGGACACACAAACAAATAAAAATTATAAGTGCTAACATGGAACATTTATAGACAATTTTTAATATAATCTTTTTTTTAAAAAAAAATAAAGAAACACAAAGTATTTGGAATTTTGGATAGTTTTATCTTTTAATAAGAAAATCTGTTCTACCACCAAAAAGTTTTGTTTTTTGTTTGAAGTAGTCCCAAAACAGTTTTTGTTTTGTTTTTTTTTTTTTTAACTAACAAACCCTTTCGAAGAAACATTCTAAAGTCCAAACGAACACCCTCAGAAGTTGGTAGGTTTATTTTTTTTTTTTTTTGGAAAAGAAAATTATGACCAGTCACCAAACGCAGAAGAAATGAGAAGAAACGATTAGGTGGCTTTTGGACAACTTTCTATAAACCGTTTTTCAGTGAATTCTTTTTTAGAAACACTTTTTTTTTTTCATTGTGGTTATGTATACAGTCAAAATAGATTTCGGCACGGTCGAAATAGATTTCGACTTTGTACGATTGATCGAGGTCAAAACGTAATAGATCGGAGTAAAACTTCGAGATGAGTTCCGAAGATGGTACAAACAAGCTTCGAACCCGAGAGACCGATCAATGTCGAGCTCGATATCATTATCAAACTAGAATCCAAATCGAACTATGATGCAAAGTAAAGTTATCGAGCTTATGATTCAGAGACCGACCAACACTGACCCCGAATCAATGCAAGGATCCGAGTCAGAATCGAGCTCAAGTCAAGATCGAGAGCTCGAGACAAAACCGAAAACTCGAGTCAATATCGAGCTCATAGACAAGAGCCGTTGCAATCCCACTAGAGAAGAGAATCCTGGCAGGAATTATGGAACAACTGATTTATCGTGGGTCTCCCATTATGTATTTTTAATTATATCTAAAGTAAAATCCCTCTACTATAAAAGGGGATGGTTATTATTTCTGTAAGGACCAAGTTTTTGCTTACATTGTAATTCAAGCACCATATTCTCCTATAGTGAAGAGTTGTTCTTTTAAGCTTCATAAATTGATTCAACATGTTCAGTCCTAAAAATCATCTTCTTTATAACCTTATTTACTTTGCACTCTTTGCAATCCATATTTGATATTTTTATTTATCCTTACGGTTTGTATTAAGCTATACCACATATCCTTAGAACTACGTACAAATTTAACTCTATCCATTTTTCGGGTAAACAGTTTGGCGCCCACCATGGGGCTAAGGATAACAGTGGTTATTTGATACGAATCTGCAAAAACATAACATTTTGCGCTTGTTTCCGAAAGTATCTCGGGTTTCGGATTAGCAACGACTAACTACCAATCAAATGGCCTTACGTATCGACAACGAAGCCGGTCTTCAAGATGAGAACAACAACTTGACACCCAGTGCCGAAAGACCACTTATCAAGGCCGTTGGAGCTCGAATCGGAGTACCGATAGATATCAATTAACATGTGGCCATTGAGGCGAACGTACATTTTGAACCTGAAAATAGCATTCATGGTGGCACTCAGTCTGCAACTCGAAACACCCATAACGTCGAGGAAAACAGCGTCAGCTTGCGTATGATTTTCGAAATGTTGCAAACTTAACAGGAAGCGATAGCTTAGTTGCAGAGCCAAACCCAGCTACCGAGCAGGCCGGAGCCCAGTCCACTTCGAGAAATCGCCCACAAAACAGAGCCAGCCATAGTGAGGTCAAATAAGCAAGAATCGGGGACTACTTCCGAAATTGCTAAAATGCTCGAGGAGCTTACAAAGCGAGTCGAAGCCAATGATAAAAAAGTAGAAACGTATAACTCTAGGGTCGATCAGATCCCGATAGCTCCACCAATAATAAAAGGGTTGGATTCCAAAAAATTAGTGCAAAAACCTTTTCCCTCAAGCGCAACCCCAAAACCAATCCCCAAAAAATTTTGTATGCCCGAAATTCCCAAATATAACGGAACGACCGACCCCAACGAGCATGTCACTTCTTACACGTTTGCCATCAAGGGCAATCATTTGGAAGACGATGAAATCGAATCTGTGTTGTTAAAAAAATTCGGAGAGACCCTCTCGAAGGGAGCAATGATTTGGTATCACAACCTACCACCAAATTCCATCGACTCATTTGCCATGTTAGCAGATTCTTTTGTAAAAGCACACGCTGGCGCCATAAAAGTCGCAACAAGGAAATCAGATCTTTTCAAGGTAAGACAAAAGGATAACGAGATGCTGAGGGAGTTCGTATCTCATTTTAAAATGGAACGAATGGATCTGTCACCAGTCACAGACGATTGGGCTGTTCAGGCTTTCACCCAAGGCTTGAACGAACGAAGTTCAACGGCTTCACGGCGGTTGAAGCATAACCTGATCAAATACCCAGCCATCACGTGAGCCAACATGCACAATCGGTACCAATCAAAAATTAGGGTCGAAGATGATCAACTGGGGTCTGAACCCGCTGCTCGAAGTGATATTAATCAAGAACAAGGTCCGATCGGGGATCGATACCGACCGTATAACAAAAATCGCAGAATCAGTGAATCGAGACATAACCTCGGACAAACTAACAAAAGAAGTGATCGAGGTCAAGGGTCCCGGGGGCTGATTAGCAGAAGTAGGTTCAACAGGCCTGTCGGATCTAAGGAAGCACCTTGATTATCGGAGTATAACTTCAGCATCGATGCATCTGCCATCGTGTCGGCTATCGGAGGTATCAAAGACACTAAATGGCCTTGACCTATACGATCGATCTTGCCCAGAGGAATCCCAATCAAATGTGTGAATATCATGGCACCCATGGCAACTAAGAGAGGAGGTAGCGCGATTATTTAACAAAGGGCACCTTCGAGAATTTTTAAGCGACAGGGCGAAGAACCATTTCAAAAATAGGGATTTCGGCAAGCAGAACGAACAAGAAGAACCACAGCACGTCATTCACATGATCATCGGCGGTGTCGATACCCCTCAAGGGCCGGTGCTTAAACTCACTAAGACATCGATTGTGAGAGAAAAATGATCTCGAACTCAGGATTATGCACCCATAGGAACTTTGTCTTTCAATGATGAAGATACAGAAGGAGTCATACAACCTCATAACGATGCATTGGTAATATCCGTACTTATGAATAAAACTAAAGTTAAGCGTGTGTTAATTGATCTAGGTAGCTCGGCCAACATCATTAGATTGAAGGTCGTAGAATAACTCGGTTTACAGGACCAAGTCGTACCTGCAACCCTAGTTCTAAACGGATTCAATATGGAACGTGAAACCACCAAAGGCGAGATAGTTCTACCGACAAACGTGGCCGGGTCCATCCAAGAACCGAAGTTCCATGTAATCGAAGGCGACATGAGGTACAATGCCCTCTTTGGAAGGCCATGGATCCACAACATGAGAGCTGTACCTTCGACCCTACACCAGGTCCTTAAATTCCCAATATCGAGAGGAGTCAAAACAGTGTACGGAGAACAACCGGCCGCAAGAGAAGTGTTTGCCGTCTAGGAAGCGAATCCAATATCCTCGCCTTTGCCAGTAAAGGGATCGGGCTGAAAAGGGGAACGAGATACCAAATAGCAATCACAGACATCGGTCTTAACCCGACCAGATAATCAGAAGATCGACGAAGATGATGATCAAAGGATCCCTCGATCCTTCGTGATTCCCGATGATTCCGACGCTACCAAATCAACAATTGAGGGATTGGAGCAAGTCACACTAATCTAGCACTGGCCCGAACGGAAGGTATATCTGGGAACGGGATTAACCCCCGAACTTAGAAAAAAACTTATTTAATTTCTTATCAATAACATTGATTGCTTTGCCTGGTCCCATTTAGATATAATAGAGATCTCACCAGACATATTGACGCATCGGCTAAGCTTGGACCCTAAGTTCAGACCGGTGAAGCAAAAGAGAAGACCCCAGTCCGAGGTAAAACACGCATTCATAAAGGACGAGGTAACCAAACTTCTCAAGATAGGGTTCATTCGGGAGGTGAAATATCCCGAATGGTTAGCCAATGTAGTTGTAGTGCCTAAAAAAGGGAACAAACTTAGAATGTGTATAGATTATAAGGATTTGAACAAAGCATGACCCAAAGATTCCTTTTCGCTGCCCAACATCGATCGCATGATCGGTGCCACGGCCAGCCACGAGATCCTTACTTTTCTCGATGCCTATTCCAGGTATAATCAAATCCAGATGAACCCGGAAGACCAGGAAAAGACTTCATTTGTCACCAAATATGGAACATATTGTTATAATGTGATGCCCTTCGGGCTGAAAAATACAAGAGCTACTTACCAACGCCTAGTAAATAAAATGTTCGAAGAACAAATAGGTAAATCAATGGAAGTTTATATTGATGACATACTAGTTAAGTCCCTGCGGGCATAGGACCATTTGACCCATTTGCAGGAAACATTCAAGATTTTAAGGAAATACAACATGAAGCTCAACCCCGAGAAATGTGCTTTCAGAGTCGGTTCAGGCAAGTTCCTTGGCTTCATGGTGTCAAATCGGGGGATCGAGATTAACCCCGATAAAATCAAGGCCATCGAAGACATCACCATCGTGGACAGCGTGAAAGCTGTACAGAGGCTAACAGGACGGATTGCAACCTTAGGCCGATTCATTTCGAGATCATCAGATCGAAGTCACAAATTTTTCTCTCTACTCAAAAAGAAGAACGATTTCGCCTGGACCCCGGAATGCCAACAGGCATTAGAGGAATTAAAACGATATCTATCGATCCCACCGCTACTTCATACTCCAAAAACAGACGAAAAATTTTGCTTGTACTTGGCAGTATCGAAAATCGCGGTAAGCGGTGTCCTAGTTCGAGAAGAGCAAGGTATGCAATTTCCCGTTTATTATATAAGTCGGACCTTAGGAGAAGCAGAAACTAGATATCCGCACCTAGAAAAATTGGCACTTGCACTGATAAGCGCCTCTAAGAAGTTAAGACCATACTTTCAATGTCACCCTATATGCGTATTAACCACTTACCCGC